TAAAATAGCATAAAAATTAACATCCCTAACTATACTGACGATACTGAAGTAACTATAAGAATTTCTAAACCAAGAGGACTGATTTTGAGCTTAACATAAATTTTTTAAAACCAACTAGAACCCTTTCCGGTTTTCTCAGTGCTCGAGCCATTTGTATAGCATTTTACTGTGTCTCTTGTACCTTCTAATATCCCCAACACACCTTCATACTTCACTATTACTTTAAATCTCGATCAAAGGTCCAGACCGCAGTATTGGAGTTTTTCAGCATCGCTAGTATAGGAAACACCCAGCTATTTTCTTAATAATTATCGACTTATCGTATTTGTATGCCTCCGCTTTTAGATATCTATAGGCGGTTTCTGTAATAAGAACTCTAAGGCACCTGCGGGACTATTCCGAAGAGCCTCTTAGTTAATTAGACATAACAACCTTTGTGCTTGTTGAAATTATTTCAAAAGATCTTATGAATGACAATGGATTCATACATACATCGTGTTTGTTTTGGATTGACACACCAAGCCAATAATTGTTTTGCATTGCATCAAAATTGCCATGACATTGCAAATTCCGGTTACCACATGTAGTTTATATGATATATTTCTATCTATCACTTCTAACAGATATCTCACTTAAGTATGTAACAAGATTATTGGATACCCGAGTTTCAGCGGTTCCAACCGAAATTTCCGCCTGTTCAATCACAAATGAATCCCTAATTTGTAATTTCACATTATTCTTCACTTCTTAACCTTTTATAGTTTGACCGTGTATAATTGAAACATTGTGAAACATATCGAGTAATATTTTAATAATTAGAGTCCATTTAACCTGCAAATCTGCAAACTTAATAAATTACCAAATAATATATTTTCTAATTGAGTGTTGCAAGTGTAAACTTCCTAAGTGTTGCAATAACGGCCTAGACTGAATTGTATTGTACGCTTATAGTTCAAAGTTTGTTGGTATGATAGAAGCACTAACCGCTGTTCTGAGGTATACATTATTTGTTAAATTGTAAATTGGGGATTTGAGCGCAGACTATTTATAGAAAGTTACCTAACCAACAATTTTTTTTAGTATTTTTGAAGCCATTAAATGCAGATTTGTACAAAATTTATGCCCCATCCCCCGGATTATATTCAGAGCATCAAAGCGATGTTTACATAGATCGAGGGATATTTAGAATAAAAATTTATCTAGGAAAGAAAAAAATTTAGATGGTGAACGAACGATAGATTCAATGGTTGAAAGGCTGGAAGGCATGTGTAAGACAAGCAATATAATGAATTGTGATTCACTATCGAACCAGCTAAAAGAGGAACAAGAACGAGCAAAAATGATAAATCGAGCAATAGATCTAGAAGTTAAGATAAGGCCGAGGAGAGGTCTTTCTAGGAACACTCCTCACATCAGTATTTGTGGTAAATAGTGAAGTATACAGGGACATAATTTTCTTAGACGAAAATCAGAAGGATCTAATAAAAAATTTAAAACATCAGACAAAGTAAAAATATACGGACATTTAAATAGGTTTCGAGAGGCAGTGATAAACGGAACTAAGGAAATGTCTAAAGGCCTAAGTGATGTCTCATATAGAACTGACACATTAGAAATATAGTACATACGACTTAAAGTGGAAGCGACTGATAACCGTGCAATAGAATATGCAAAAAAATATACTAACACTAACACTAACGAAAAAAATATTAAATCTTTATTACAATCATGGACACTTCATAGATAAGTGTAGACCCACAAGGGGTAGATATAAGAAGACGGTCGGGATATAATAGATACTATCGTACACAATAAAGAAGGAGACATCGTCATTATTGGCTATGTCCTAAAAATTGACAACACTAGATACAACCTACTGAGAGTTGGTGTTGTGCTCTCGTTGTTGGTCCCCAGGAATCTACTTGCAGTAGATTACAATATCTTACACTATTTTGAAGTGATATATGAAGATAAAGAAAGGTGTATAGAATTAAACAAAGGGGAGTTGGCATGTTCACAAATGGGAATTATTAATATGGATACCCAGCCAAACTGTATATTAAATTAATTATATGATAGAAATACCAACACCGCCTGCAATATAAAAAAGTAAACGATAATGGAAGCCAGTTGGTTGAAAATGAGAACACCGCACTTCTGGCTAGTCATTACACCATAACGCATATAATGTGCGATGGTTGTCGATCTGAACATATAATCAATCAAACGAGTTTTATAAAGCTGTCAGCAAAATGCGTTGCTCAGACCCGAAACATAACATTACTCACATCCAGTAATGGATTGGAAACAGCAATTGGAAGTTATTTAAAGACTCCGTCAGTCCCATTGAAGAGCTTATACAGAGGCCAATCATAAAGCAGATACAACATTCCCAGACATAATATAGATATTCGGGGAGATGAGTTGCCAAATATTGTACTTGAGGCAGAGCAGTTTGACCAAGATATATCCGAACACACGTGGAAAACCATTGCTAACCATCAGTGGATTCCTCATTTAACCACGGGACTAGTCACTATATTCATTGTTATGTTGATTGTCATTATGTGGAAGGTAGTCAGATATATTCGAAACTCCAAGAGAGCCAGAAAACAAAGGCATCAAGGTTCTTGCATCCAACCTCATCCAGCGCCTCGAAGACATACGGTATCACAACCAAATTTAAGTAAACTTTAGAGAAAGCCCTCCTAGATCAGTTTCACTTAATGAGCTTAGATTTGAATTAGATAGTTTAGCTGAATCATAAATTCTAAATATTCAAGTTATAGGTAGCACTGCTCGGGTGAGATAATAATTCAAAAACCGAGTGAATTAGTGTTATGATTATTGTTATATTATTATTATTTTATATTTTATAATGTTTAGATATTTTCTATTGGTCGTCTGTTTCTTTTATATAGTGGCCAATATGTTCAATAACAAATTAATCCCTTAATTTGTAATCTCACATTATTCTTAACTTCTTAACTTTTATAGTTTCACCGTGTATAATTGAAACATTGTGAAACATATCGAGTAATATTTTAATAATTAGAGTCCATTCAACCCGCAAATCTGCAAACTTAATAAATTACCAAATAATATATTTTCTAATTGAACTTCCTAAGTGTTGCAATAACGGCCAAGATTGAATTATATTGTAAGCTCATAGTTCAAAGTTTGTTAATATGATAGAATCATTAACCTCGGTGCTGAGGTATATACTATTTATACTATGCATTTATAAATTGGGCATTTAGCTCATTTAAGCGCAGTCTATTATAGAAAGTTACCTAACCAACAACTTTTTTTTAGTATTTTTAAAGACATCAAATGCAGATGTGTACAAAATTTATACCTAATCCTCGGATTATATTTAGAGAAGTACTAATAAACGGAACCAAGGAAATGTCTAAAGGCATAAGTAATGTCTCATATGGAGCCGACACATTAGAGAAAGAGTACATACGACTTAAAGTGGAAGCGACGTATAAATGTGCAATGGAATATGCAAAAGAATATACGAACACATTTGTTACACAAAAACACAAAAAATATTAAAACCCGGATAAATAGAGTCAATTATTTCGAATGCTACAAGGTTCCTTCCACAAGGAGTAGATATCAGAAGGCAGCCAATAATAGATACGGTCGTACAAAATGAAGATATCGTCATTATTGGCTATTTCCTAAGAATTGACAACACTTGATACAACCTACTGAGAGTCACAGCTCTTCCGTTGTCGGCGAGAGGTGGTATTGTGCGCTCGTTGTTGGTCCCAAGGAATTTACTTGCAGTAGATTACAATAACTTACACTATTTTGAATTGACATAATATGAAGATTAAGGAAGGTGTATAGAATTAAACAAAGGAGAGTTATCATGTTGACAAATTGGAATCATTAATATGAATACCCAGCCAAACTGTATCTTAAATGAATTATATGATAGAACGACCAACATTACCTGTTATGTAACACCTAAGTATGTAACAAGATTATTGGACCCCCTAGTATCAGCGGTTCTAACCGCTTTTATAGTGGTTAACTATTAACCTTTTATAGTTTCACCCGTCTAAAATTGAAACATTGTGAAATATATCGAGTAATATTTTAATAATTAGAGCCATTCAACCTGCACACCTGCACTTAATAAATTGCCAAATAATATATTTTCTAATTGAACTTACTAAGTGTTGCAATAACGGCCTAGATTAAATTGTATTGTAAGCTCATAGTTCAAAGTTTGTTAGTATGATAGAAGCATTAACCTCTGTGCTGAGGTATACATTATTTGTGAAATTATAAATTGGGATTTGAGCTCATTTGAGCGCAGTCTATTATAGAAAGTTACCTAACCAACAACTAGAGTGTAATTATCAGTAGCTGTCAAGAAAACTATAATTTTTACTCCACACTTCAACCATTTATCATAAGAATCGGATCAAAGGGGCATTAGAAAACAATTCCATCCTGACATTTACATCGAATTGTCCACCGCCTCCATGTAAAAAGTAGTTTTTTAGTCTTGGTGTATTAACTTTATGATGACATATTCTATTATAATTATTTTTAAAATTTTTCTGTATCTGTATCAGTGGTTTTTTTAGCTATGGTAAAATTTTGTTATTAAACAAGCAATCCTTTTGCGACTGGTGTTTTGTAAAGATAAATTATCGGGATCTACAGGTCGATTTTGGCTTCAGTTTGTTTGCACCTTAATTTTGGTCTGCAACCCCAGCAAACATTATTCAAGATAATTGGGGAGAGGATAGACTCTAGTAGAGTCGACGTGACTTTAAACTGTTTTCCTCACCCACAAATTAACCAGTCCTTGAGGGGAGTTACGTCTAATTATATAATATTATGTATATAATATTATAATATTATTGTGAAATAATTTATTATTATGCATACTAACATATAAATTTTTAAAATTATTATAAAAACATATTATTTATGCTTAATACATATGAAGTTATAAATAAATTATATTTTAGAAATATGACGATAAATCTCAACAAACCCGGAACGTAATAAAGGTGGGTTGGTGTGTTCCATCGTCTTGTTCTACTAGAGATCTAGAAGAAAATCTTAATGAGTATTTGCTTAATGTGGATAATAAACTTCAACATCAAAATGTAACTTATAACGCAAAATTTATGGAAGTCTTATGTCACACTAAAGCAGAAAGTCAGTATTTTGATGTAGCGGATATCTGTTTCTGGTGAGTTATTAATAAATATGCAGCAATAAGTAGCAAAAAATATTATTAATAAAAACAATGCGTAAAGGGTTTATTCAGTAAGTGTAGGAAAAGGGAGGAGGAAATAGTGGCCGCCTAAGCATTTTGGTTTATTTATACTGCTTATTCTTCTTCTTTGAGTGTCTCTCCTATCGGAGATTGGATATCATTATGGCAATTCTAATTTTATTTACTGCTGTTTTGAATAATTCGTTAGTGGTACAGCCAAACCACTCTCTTAAATTTCTCATCCACTACATTCTTCTACGGCCTGGATTTCTGCGTCCTTGGATTTTTCCTTGCATTATATTTTGTAGGAATCTTTACTTTTGTCCTCTCATCAGGTGGCCTAAGTATTCAAGTTTTCTTTTTTTATATTCATGATAACTTCTGGATTGCTATTTATTCTGCGCATTATCTCTTCATTATATTCGTTTGATTGTTAAATTAAATTGATTGTGAGTAAGTCTTATTATTATTTCTTTACCTATTAGAACAAAAAAAATTAAAACGGTTTGTCAGACTTCTGCTGGTGGCCATATTTACCTACTGCCGAGGCGTCAGTGACAAAATTGACCAAATTTATGAAATTTCTTGTGCCAACTGCCCCCGATCATATATATGCCAAACCAATCGTGGAATCCAAAACAGGAATTAATTAACATTCCATTTTAGTTCACAACTCCGATTAAATTTTAGCTATACGTCAACACCATCTTCATACAAAATTGATTTTGAAATGTCCAGAACGATAGCCCCCATCCGCTTCTATAAACCAAGAATTATCCGAGAAGCCATAGGAATTGAAAAAAGGCTAAAAGGTCTCAATACGGTTACATTCGACATGGAAACCTTTCATAAAAATGAAAAATAATGAAAATATGGTCTTCTTCTTCTTCTTCTTCTTCTTCTTCTTTTTTATAAGCAAAATGCTTGTTCAATGTCGATTAATGCCTCTATTGGAGGTTATCACTCCATCTTTTGCGTGGTCGCCCGATACTTCTTCTACCTTTTGGTGATTTGTCCCTCGCTATTCTGACTAATCGGGTCTCTTCCATTCTGTTTATGTGTTCGTTCCATTCCTTTTTTCTGTTCAGTGTCCACTCATTTATTTCTGGTATATTGCATTTTCTTCTGATCTCTTCACTCCTCATTCGATCCCTCAGTGTGTTTCCTGTAATTCTCCTCAGTAAACGCATCTCCGCTGTTTCTAGTAGTTGCTGAGTTTTGGAGGTATCCGGTCTTGTCTCTGAAGTGTATGTCATTATTGGTCTTATTGTTGCTTTGTAGATTCTTGATTTCACGTCGGTATTAATGTGGGGATTGCGCCATATCGTGTTATTAAGACAACCTGCTATTTTATTAGCCTTTTGTACTTGATTTTTCACTTCCTTCTCCACATCTCCGTAGCTAGACAGTGTAATTCCTAGGTAATTTGTCTCCATTACTTGCTCAATGCTGATACCGTCGATTTCCAGTTTACATCTAATTGGTTCTTTACTGATTACAATTGTTTTAGTTTTCTGTGTAGAGATCACCATATTAAAGTCCTTTGCCCTTGTGTTGAATCTATGGGTTAGTCTTTGTAGATCGTCTTCATTGGATGCAATTAGGGCCGCATCATCTGCATAGCAGAGTATTCTGATTTCTTTGTTCCCCATTTTGTATCCTCTTCCTTTATTAATAGTATTGATGATTTCATCCATGATTAGATTGAATAGCGTTGGACTAAGCGAGTCTCCTTGTCTTATTCCATTGCCCATATCTATTGGATCTGTAAGCTGGTCATCTATTCTGACTTCCATATTGTTGTTCTGGTAAATGTTCTCTATTGTTTTTATAACATCTAGTGGAATTTCTCTATCGTAAAGAAGGTGAATTACATCTTTAAGCTTTACTTTATCGAACGCTTTCTTCAGGTCTATTAGACATATGAATGCTGGTCTGTTATACTCTAGTGCTTTCTCGGTAATCTGTTTTATGATGAATACTGCATCTGTGCACGATCTTCCTGTGCGAAAACCCTGCTGTTCATCCGCTAAGGTAATTCTCTGATTTATTTGGCCTTGCAATATTTTGGTTGTAAGCTTCAAAGTGGTGTTTAATAAGTTGATACCTCTGTAGTTTTCAGGTTGTTTTTTATCTCCTTTTTTGTATAGTAGGATAAGCTCGCTTTTCTTCCACTCTTCAGGTATTTTATTATGTTTGATGATTTTGTTAATTAGTGCTGTTAGCTGTTCTGTTAATGCTTCTCCACCATATTTCAATAATTCATTTGGAATTCCATCTTTACCTGCAGCTTTTCTGTTCTTCAGTTTTTCTAAAGTTTGTTTTACTTCTTGTACGGTTATCTCGACTTCCTCGTTTGTAATGATTTCTGGTGTTTCTGGTTCTAACATCATTTGCTGTTCATCATTATAAAGCTTCTTTAGGTATTCAATCCATGTGTCGTTATCTATGTGTTTCGGTTCGATTAAGTCTTTCATCTCTGATCTTTGGCCTCTTATGAAACGCCATATTTCCTTTTGTAGACCGTAAAAGTCGTGTTCCATTTCTTTTGAGAAGCGTTCCCAGTGTTCGTTTTTAATTTTTCTTACTAGTGCTATTGTTTCGTTTCTTATCTTTTTGTAATTGTTGTATTCTTGTGGTGTTTTGTTAGACATGTATCTTAAGTAAGCTTTCTTTTTTTCTTTGCATTTTTCTTTCACTTCTGCGCAGAACCACGGAGTTTTCCGCTTTTGGAAATATTTATTTTTAAGAATTTTCCTTTCTCCTACAGCTTCTTTTGCTGAATCTAGGATGCTTGCTTTAATTTTCGCCCAGCTTTCTTCGATTCCATCACTTTCTACGATGTGCACGTTGTCGAGTTTATCTTTGACTCTCTTTTGGTATAGAAGTTTTGTTGATTCGTTCTGCAGACTCTCGACTTTTACCTTTGTGGTGTATTCTTCTTTTTTATTTTTATTGTTTTTATTGTTACATATGCGTGTCGTCATTCTGATTTTTCCAAGTATAAGCTTATGGTCGCTTCCTATTTCTGCAGATGTTAGTGCTCTTATGTCCAATACTTGAGAGGGATGTATTACCCTGTTCGTCAGGATGTAGTCTATCATTGACCTTTGACCTCTTGTATTTTCGAATGTGTATTTGTATTGTTCCTTATGAGGGAAAAAAGTGTTGTTGATGCGTAGTTCATTCGTGCTACATAGGTCCGTGAGGAGATCTCCATTTTCTATTTTTGATGTCTTCGTTATGACGCTGTTTTATCCCTGGTACGATGTCGTTGCCAACACGGGCATTAAAGTCGCCCGTAACGATCATAAATTTATTATGAAAAATATGGTCAAAGAAAGAAAATGTAAATCCTACTGTCACAAATGTTCGCGCCAAATCTAGCCCCAATCTCCGCGCCAATCCCCACGTCAATTCTCATGCTAACCCCCACGCAACCTCCACCCAAACCACGTCACGACGTCACTATCGGCGGTAAAAATGAACCGTTCTCTGTTCCCAGCAGGTTCCCAGGTTCCCAGCAGCACTAATGCATTGGCTCCTGATCTGTGCAGTAGTGAAGGATGTCGAAAGCTCGTCTCAATGATAATCGACGCGGTTCAACCCAGAAGACTATTGAGTTTGATATTAATTCTTGTAATAGTATTAATCTTAGCTCTAGTTTTAATTGTACTAAACGCGAGATACCTGTACCAGAATTGAATATCTCGGAGTAATGACAAGTAAGATTATAATAAATAATATACTAAACTCGAATGGATACTTCTTGATCTTTAAACGTAAAATCAAGTAAGAGTATTTCGTTATATGATATGTATATTAATACTTCACTTTTACTAAAAAAGTAAAGAGTACATTAGATTTTACGATGCAATAAAACTGTAAATGATGAAAACACATTTTTAAAAAAATAACGAGTAAAATTATTAATATTAGTAGATAATTAACATATCTGACATTTCAAAAAAACTACCAAGGTGATGTTAAGTGTTGTAAGAACGGATATATGTATGTATGTTACGTAGCTTATGCTGCTATGTATAAACACAGGGATACCATAACAAATTAATGTCAAAAACTCAACTGGATTTCGTTGATATTTGAATATGAGTTCGTTTATCTTGAAATAAAGTTGTACAGAAAAAATTGATCCAATTTAAAATAAAAATGGTTTCAATTTACTATACCCTAACCCTAAAGCCCTAAAAGATATTGATGAAGGCATCTCAATAAATGGAGTCAAGCTCAATAACCTGCGGTATGCAGATGATACAATAGTGTTTTCCAATACCATAGAAGGGCTGCAAAACTTAATGAACAGAATAACGGAAACAAGTAGAACATATGGACTGGATATAAACACCAGCAAAACCAAGCTAATGATCATCAGCAAGCAAAACATAACTGGAGCAAATCTGTATGTGAACCAAATGAGAATTGAACGTGTCTCACAATACAATTACTTGGGAACTATAATCAATGAGTCGTGGGACAATACCCAAGAGATTAAATGTCGCATCGGAAAGGCCAAAAGTGCATTCTTGACTATGAGCTCTGTGTTCAAAAGCCATGACCTCACCCTGAAAACAAAAATAAGGCTCCTTAAATGTTACGTGTACTCAGTGCTTCTGTATGGAGTAGAAACGTGGACATTGAAGGCGGAAACTATATCAAAACTTCAGGCTTTTGAATTATGGTTATACAGAAGAATCCTGAAGATACCATGGACAGACAAAGTCACCAATGACGAAGTACTGCGGAGGATGAACACAACCGCGGATTTGGTCAACATTGTGAAGAGCCGTAAGCTGGAGTACTTGGGACATATAATGAGAAATCAAGGCAGATACGAGCTACTCCAATGCATTTTGCAGGGTAAAATTGAAGGAAAAAGAGCCCCAGGACGAAGAAGAATATCCTGGCTTGCTAACCTGAGAGCATGGTATAGAAAGACCTCAACACAGCTATTT